CCAGTGATCGCATCTTCTTCTTCTGAACTGCTTCCTGGAACTCGCATATTCTTTACTATTGGCAGACTACAGCACAGGTATTAACTGGTGAGGTGTTTGGTCCAATAATCGAAGAGGACACGAATTCTTATCTCAAAATCAGAGTGTGGTTGTGGTTGCCTGGTTGTCAGCAACAACTTGTAGGACATTAAGTTGTTTCAGAAGCCATCTACTCGTTGGAAGATGGCCGTTTTCTGCCAAAATGTCGTAGCTGAAATATGCAATACAACATGAAGCGAGCTATTTTTTTACAAGATTAATTACTGATCAGGCGATAACACCTGCCTGTCATTAATGCAACACTTAGCGTAATCTAAAATCTGAAATAAGTGTTTCCACACATTTTCGCAGTTGTTGATCTGAAGGAACAAGTATCTGACCATGTAACCCATTAGTAAAAACGTTTCAACCCCCGAGCATGTGTTTGCTGTATGCACCAATAATTCCACAAATGAATGCGATAAAATCCATCCTGCATCAAAGTGGAAAATAACTACATCATCCTGCCTGGGTAACTAAGTTTGATAAAGCGATAAACGGAGGATAGTCGCCTTTGACAGTGGGGCTATTGTTTCAAATGGTTGGCGTATATTGGAGGAGATGCAGCAAAAGAGACAGGTCGATCGGTCCGCTTTATGTGCTATTGGAAATAATGTATTTCCCAATTGTTGGTAATAAGTTCTAAGTACCCGAATAAGTCACTTTGGTCAAACAGAATCAAACACATCACTAGTAATCAGCGGGTCCACGTTTGGTTCCTGCTTGAAAATATCTTCACAAGGTGGAAGGGGCGTGCATCTTAAGCCGAAAACCAGACCAGATCGATGAGCTCTAATTTCGTGAACTATGAAGGTGGAACAACAATAGTGTTCGTTAATGTTGTTATAATATTGCCACAAGCTTAGATGTTGCCGTCCAATTATGCCTTCAGGGAGGACACAGCGGGAAGGGGCGCAAGAAAGGAAGTCTGTTAGCGTACTTTGTACAGCGTATTTAAAACGAGCAATAGCGTGTACACGATGCACGAGGTCG